AGCCAGATTGTGGGTATGGAAAGCTCTAGCAAGTTTACCTCAAGGGTAAATTAGCCCTAAGTCAGATGCTTCCTATACAAGATTTATAAGGATCATATATTCAACTGTAAATTTGCTGAAAATTGGTCTTAGCACAAGAAGGCTTTATATTAATATCACATTCACACAAATCTATGATGAGATTAGCAGAACAAAACATGCATTTTTGACACAAAAAGCATATGCCAATCTGGTAAAGTGATGCTATTTTTTTTTTTACTTTTTTTTTTCAAATCAATGTTTAAATATTCACGAAAATCAATTGTTTAAGGGCCAAAAGCTCTAAATGGATCCAATGACAATAATTTATTAAATTTTATTTAGAGCTTTATTAAGTCTGTCACAAACCCTATTAAAGACATAACAATTATTACATACTATTATGATATAACGAAATATATCCTATACAACAAGATAAATACTTTGATACTACTAAACAAATATCAACAACCTGAAAAAATCATGCTTATAGACAAACACCTAAACCTGCACATAAGAATCAGGAGCTCAATACAACATTTATTAAATTAGCTAAAGAGATCATAATTGTGTTATATCATACAAATGCTATCATACTATAAAAAACAAAATCTAATACAACAGTGTTAGTATATTAATTATGATCACCAACCCTTCTAAAAATGTCACAATTGCGTACTATAAGAGCAAAACTATACTTATTACGATCACAAATCCTTTCAAAAATATCACAATTGCGTACTATAAAAAGCAGAGCCCAATACAACAGTGTTAGAATATAAAATAAGTATTTAGCATCACTAAGATAAAGATAAAATACAAATACCTGTAATCCTGAAAAACCTATGCTAGTAAGCAAACCTAAAATTTACAAATAAGATACTTCTCAGCTATCTCTGAAAATTATAATACTTGAATATTAAAAAACAATAGAGCGCAAATAAAAAATCAACAAACCCAATTAGATGCTTCAATAATAATATATATAAGCCAGAATATAATTGTTCAATTACTTTATAACCTTCAACGAATGAAGCATAGTGTGGTGTCTAACATGTGGCTCTGATATAGCAACATGATAGACAAGTAGAAGTAAGGATATTGACAATTGTATGAAAGCATTTTAACTCAGAACCTTTGTATATAGAGATGTGATTGAGATAAATTATCTGATATTAAAAAAATTGGATTTGGTTCTGTATATTCAGCAAAGTTGATGATGCTTCAAAGTGATTAGTTAAAATTTTTTTTTTAAAATTTTTTTTTTTAAAAAAAAAATTCACTACTAATGCTCAATCCAGAAAGGCTACTTACTTGACTATTTTGTTGGAATCCAAAAAAGTAATAGCAGAGACTCAAGAACAATGACTTACTATTATATGCATACTACCAAGTAAAAACTAGAAAGTCTAAAAATAGCTTTCTTTAGACAATGGACCACAGACTTTAATATGTGATCAAAAAATAGTATAATTTATTATACTAGTCAGATCAGTTAAAAGCTCACATTCTGTTGTCTAAAGAAAGCTATTTTTAGACTTTCTGGTTTTTACTTAGTAGTACTATGTAAAATGAAAAGATAGTTTACTGTTTATACATAGTAGAAACAGTTATAATATAATGTATCAGTATGCCTTTGTAGTTTCGTATGTGTATAAAAAAATTAGTTACCATTATTTGAACAGAGTCGTAGAACAAAAGCAACTGAGATATATTTACAACACGAACCAGTATAATTGTCAATACACATGCATGGCTAACTAGTTGTGTAATTGTTTAATAAAACAATTACGTGAGTATATACATAAATCGGAAATCGATCATTGATCAATGTTCTAAACTAATCGAGTATTCAAGTATTTGAGTATTCATCAGAAAAAAATTTTTTTGTAAATTCTGCCATTCTTAACCATTTTGAAAACAGCAATAATTTATTTAAATAACTTACAAGAATCATAATATAGAAATAGTCAACTTAGTAAAAAATTATATCAATTATTCATGAAGAATATTTGTAATATTATTAGTATTGATATTAAAACTATAGTATTAGCAACTATTCTGAATAATTAATATCTATAACTATCTTATTTTAAAAAGAATTTCTATAATAATAACAATAGCATTAACAGATTACAAAAGTAAGACTTTCTATTAGATTTATATATAACCTTCTAGAAAAAAAATAATAATATTTTATTAACCTTAATCAATAATATTAATAGGCAAATCACGAGTTACCTAACAAATATTTTTTTTATATATATAAATTTTACTATAAGCCCGAATGTGTAGCACTTCTATTTAAAACTTTTTTTTTACTAAGTAAATCACTCTTGTGTTTGTAACAAAAGTTGTAAAGCTTATTAAGATGTATCTAATAGTAGTAATAATATTAAAATTAGCCTGGTGGTTCTTGAGAAATCTTTAAAAAACTACTTTCTTACATATAAAATTTCTTTAATAAAAATCGATTTTTTTTAAAGAAATTTTATATGTGAAAAAGAAGTTTTTTTAAAGATTTTTCAAGAACCACAGGCTAATTTTAACTTCTTACTACTATTAGATACATCTTGATGAGCTTTATAACTTTTGTTACAAGCCCAAAAGTAATTTACTTAGTAAAAAAAAGTTTTAAATAAAAGCACTACACATTCAGACTTATAGTAAAATTTATATATAAAAAAAAATATTTGTTTAGATAACTCGTGATTTGTCTATTAAGTTATTTTTAAAGTAAATTGATATAAGTATTTTGTTGCATATATTTAAATTTATTTTTTTTTAATATCAAAGTGACTTCATGGTCAGTTGCCTTTATTAGTTTATATGCTAAGCTAGATAGCCAGCTGCTACTTATTTGATACATGGTTTTAGAGAGTACAACTAGCTACATATACAACTTTTGGTTGTCTATTTAAGTAGTTCACTTATCATCAAGTTCTACACTAGATGCCATATTTATAATCCAATTAGGGGATTACCTATTTAAACCCTCTGCACTGCTATATCCTTATAAGAAACCAATATCTGCTATAGGAAGCATCTGACTTAGGGCTAATTTACCCTTGAGGTAAACTTGCTAGAGCTTTCCATACCCACAATCTGGCT